CCCCCCCCCCCCCCAAAAAAAAAAAAAAAAACACACCTGCACGCTCCTGCACTGTCATCTGCTGAGAGAGGTCACGGGCGGACAAGTAGCAGAGCATCCCGAGGGAGTGATGCTCCGAGAGAGCTGCGGTCCGCCAACTTTCACCATGCCCACCCCCCCCCTCCCCCGCGCCCTCTCCCTTTAGAGTCTTAGTTACGATCGCAGGAGTCGACCGGAGCTCCAGTCCTCACCTACAGGCAGGAAGAACCAGAGAGAAGCCCGCACAGCGGACCGACTCGCAGCTTAGTCCCGGCCGGCGGCGCTAGAGGATGGTGACAGAGAGGGAGCGCGCCAGACCTTTTAAAGGAGGGAAACCACCAGAAAGCAGAACCTAGGTGATCGACAGCACGCGCCTCCCGGGATCTGTCATCCGCAGCCCCGCCCAGGAGTCACCACCCAGCCTCTACCCCGCCCGAGGGCTCAGCTGACAGCACCCAGGGCCTGCTCGCCCGGACACACCCTGGCCACACCTTTCTGGATCCTTTACCCTCGACCCCCAACCCGGAAAAGTTGCCCGGGAGACAACAACTTCCATTTTCCTTTTCTTTGGGGATAGCTGATGATTTTAAGTTATCCAGAGCCATCCCTGTTGCTCCATAGTCTCTCTTACTGTGCATGAAACCATGCCCAAGCTGCTATCTCACCTGTTCTACAGACGAAGACAAGATCTGGAACCGGCTGTACGGTTACCCAAGGTCACCTCTAGGGCCAGGGGCCAGGTCCATCTGTTCGGAAATGGTGAGGGAATGTACCAGAGATGAATGACAGTGAGGAAGCGGTCAAGAACGCCGAGCCAGGCTGTTATAAACTGTGTCCTTTCGGTATCTCGGGCCAGTTTCTGTTTTGTTCTGATTTTCTTCCCCTCCGAGTCCTTCCTGATCTAGGGATATCCTCCGTAGTTGAGGGAAAGGCCAGGGGAGCGCTTGCCCAGTAGGGGAAGTGACTCATTCATTCAGTCACAGCTATCTGGCAGAAGGAACCTCTGCCCTGCCCGGCGCTGTGACTCCCCACCCCCAGCTGCCAGCCTGGCCTGCCAGCTCCCCTACTCACACAATTCCTAGCTTGGCTTCCCCAGCTGGCTGACACTCTGGCAAGAGGACAAAAGGGCTTGGGAATGAGGGGGGAGGAGCCTAGAGCAGCCCAACACAGCCACTGTTTGCCTCCACAAGGATCTGTGTTCCCGAGAATGGACAGTAGCAGAATTGCCTACGATCCTGCTCCTGGAAGACTAAAGTCTCTCCCATTCATCTCTAAGAGTCGCCGTGTGAAGCCCGACCAAAGTATCGAAGACTAACTTCTCAGTCAAGAAACTCTGCAAATGGCTAAGAGTGGACACAAACTTGTATCCTCCAATTCCTTTGCCACTCCTGAAACCAACATCATCAAAGTCGGTGGCGGAGAGCAAAACAAGGGAGTTCAGAGCCACCTCGGCTGACTTGTGTGACGTAGAAAAACCCACGGCTCAAGGGTGTGGGCCAGCGTGTACCCAGGGCCTAGACGCACCTCCATTAAGCTTTGACATAAGCGAAGGAGGGGGTTTATCCAATGATGCCCCATTACTGTCAAGAAACAAACTTGAAAGCAACTTCCAACTACCTCAAAGTCATATAACCGGGGTATCCTCTCCCCTCACGGATGCTCTTTTCCCATTCCTAGTCAGGTGTTTGTGCCAACTGCTCCTCGTGTGTGTGTGTGTGTGTGTGTGTGTGTGTGTGTGTGTGTGTGTGTGTGTGAAGATGGATGTGAAAACAGGCTGAACCTCCCTGCACCACAAGAGGAACTTTCTCCCAGGGAAGGATTCTTTTATAATGTCCCACCACCAAATCTACAAATGCACATTTACAAGCTTTTGTGTTCCCTTTCCTGTTAATTGTAATTCTAGTACCAGCAAAACAGAAAGAAAGCCCTTCCCCCGTCCCCACCTCACCCGATCTATCCGGCTCTGGTTCAAATATACTAAATCCATTCCTTTCTTTTCTTGTCTTTTCTTTTTTCTTTTCTTTTCTTTCTTTTTTTTTTTAATAAACAAATTTCTGTCTCCTTGTTTATCGCCAAAGTAGCATACAATGAACTAGAGATTTTGACTATACTGTTTGTATACCAGGAGCTATGAAGCTTTCTAGAGCACTGTCCCAGGGCAGAATCTCCCCACACCCCCACCCCCAACTAGTTTCTAGAAAACCCCTCATTGAAGGCAGAAATGTGATTTTTAAACAACCAGCCAGCTACGTTAGGTGGGGCCACAGTGGGTAACAGGCAGCGTTTTTATTGTTACTGAGAGTGAAAGGAACAGTTTCCTCTGCTTCTCGTGCAGAAGGGCACGTCTGTGTGTGAGTGTGAGACAGGAAGCAACTTAACTCACAGATAAAACTACCCTGTCACTCGAGGTCACACCCTGCCCCTCCCCCAGCTCAGAGAGGCCTAGAGCTGAAGTCCTGAAGACCTTTCGTCAACCTCAGGAAACATGAAATTCCCTGGGCTCGGGTCCCTGCAATGATTGGTCCTTCCGATGGAATTCAAATTAAGTGAAACTAGTTCCAGGATACCGAAGGCTATACAGAGAAACCCTGTCTCGAAAGACAACAAAATGAAAATGCAAGTTGGTTAAGTCTCCCACCAATTTTATCACAATCTTCAAAGGTATGTTGATATAAACTAAGAAATTGGTGATGGTGTCCTGTTAGGGCCAGACATCAGCTTAGAAAAAGAATTTGGTGTGTATCCTGGCAAACCACCTGTGGCAAGGTCAGGTGCCCTCGCAAGCCTCCTGCTTCCTGTTGTCCCCTCTGAATGCTCCCAAGATCTGCTTTGTATCTCTTGGAGCTCATTCTGCTGAGGCATTGTCCTATTCTCTTAAGTCTAGCTTAAAAGGTCAGGCTCCAATAGCCTTTGCAGCCTGGGTGTAGCCACTGCCCCACCCTTGAAATTCAAACTCAACCTCCCTTTGATTTTATGATTGAGATAATTGTGAAGTTGTAATGAATAAAACAGAGGGATCTCTTGTGCCCCTCCCTTTAATTTTTCCCAATAAAACATCTCACAAACCATAGGAGATTGTCACAAGAAAGTAATACCACCCATTTCCCTCCAATTCCCCCTCCACCCACCACAGACCTAAGCCCTGTGCCCACTCACTTGTCCTCCATTCCTACAGTTCCTGGGCTCACTTTTTAGACCGTGCTGGCCTTGAACTCACAAACATTGGAACTCTTTAGTATTTTGACTAGTGGCATCCCAGATATGACAAAATTGTGTAGGGTGATATCCCACACTATATATAGAAAGAACTCAGCTGAGATCCTTCCTCATACAGTTCCTTCCTCTTTATTTGGGAACAGTATTTCACAGTGTAAGGAACCACAATGGTTGAACCAATTCCTTACAATTAAAGTAAAGCTTTAGTAGCTTTCAGTTTTAAACCATTAGGAGCAAAGCCAATAAGCAGGGCCTGATGGCACCCACCTTTAATCCCACCATTCCCTAGGCAGAGCAGACAGATCTCTGAGTTCAAGACCAGCCTGATCTAGATGGACATTGTGTTCCAGGACAGCCAGAACTACATAGATAGATCCCGTATCAGCAAAGGGCGGTGCTGGCACCACACTCCACATGCCTGTTTCCTGTCGGAATACAACCTCTCTTTGGTGAATAGGAATGTAGAGTAAGCGCCTTGTAGGATGAGCGCATGCTCAGTCTGACAGTGGGCTTTCAAACTGTTTTCATCCCCACCGACAATACCTGAAGCGTTCAGTTGGTCCGTCTCTCAGCAGCACCCCACCCTGTCATCATCATTTTATCTTTATCCAATTTGATGGGGATACCACAATGTCTTCTCCTGGTCTGCACATCCATAGTGGCAGAGGAAGGTGCCTGGCACACTTGGTGACATCTTGTTTTTTTTTTCTCTTCAGTGAATATTTATTCATATCTTTTTCTGTTTTCTAATTGCATGTTTTAGGGTCTTGCCTTATTCCTGTTGGGATTTGAGCGTTCTTTCTATATCCCAGATGTGAGTCTTACATTTGATCTGATGCTTGCAAATGGTTCCTCCCAGTGGGTGGCTTATTGTTTTATCCTCTATTTACAAACTATCACAAGGCAAAGCATTTTGTCAGTATTAAGCTCATCTTACATTTTCCCATTGCGCTACACTTGTTATCAAATCCAAGAACGTATTTCCTAACTCTTGAGAATTTTGCCACATATATTCTTCTGAGACTTTGAAAGTTGTGTATTTTACATTTAAGTTCATGGTCCACTTTTAGGTGTGATGACTAGGTAAAAATTGCAGTCTGTCTGTTTATTTTGCCTTGAGAGACCAAAAGATTAAAAATTAGCAGCTTTTATTAATTAAGGCCTGAACTAGGTGGGTGGAGAAGTCCAGTAATGCCCTGAGGGGAAGGACCCCTCACTGCATTTTTTCCCCACCCACTAGAGATACAGTTGCTAGTAAACTGGACCATCCCCCTAGGGAGGGACACCAGATCATTAATGGTCTGGGAACCTTCCTATAGCCAATCAATTCAAAATGTAGTATTTTGACCAATAGATGCTTGCCAGGCAGGAATTGGCCCCTGCCTTGAGCAGGCTGGGATGGACCAGAATCTTTAAATGACCCAACTAACCTGGGCACAGGGCGCTCAACTCCCACCGCTTTGGTGGTGTGGGGGTGTGGGCCCAAGCTGCAGCTTGTAATTTACAATAAAAAGAACCTCATGTATTTACAGCGGAGTCTGTTTATTCCTGGTCTTTTGGGGTTCGTGAACTGGGCAGAACACATTCTCAATAGTGTATTCTTTCCATTACTCTCTCTGTTCAGTAGACCTTAATACTGGGCTGTGGTTTTCCTAGCTGGCTCTGTGAGAGCCAAAGTTGTGTTTTAAGTTTTAATTTCTGTGCCTAAGAGATCCATAAAACAAAATTGCCTCTAACCTGTAAGCCCCTTGCCCAAGGACAGATACTTCCTGAAATGCCAGAGTCTGTTTATGTAAGATATCAAGCCACAGGTTTTCACATCTGCACTGGATGTGTTTGATTATATGCAGGGAAGTATGCAGGCAGGAAATACATCAGGATGTATGCTTCTCCTGATTAGATGCAGGCAAGAGGTGTGTAGGCAGGAAATACATCAAGATATATGTTTCCCTCTAATTGGGCCTGGTGGGAAATATGTAGTCTTATGGGTTTGCCTTTATATGCCTCTGAAAAATGTGACTCATTGCCATTTTCTAGGAACTCCAGAATGGACTTTGCCATAGTCCCTCTGTTATGCCCAATTCGAAAACCCCAAAAGACCAGAAAGAGACTGCACTGTAAATATGAGGTTTTTAAATTGTATACCTGTTTGAAAATGGGACGAAAACTTCCTGTGGAAACAGGAGAGGAATGCGACTTCAGGGTCTAGAGGAGCAAGATTTTTATAGGGCAAAACTGCAAGAAGGGACTTACATGCTTTGGCATTACATGATTGGGTAAGGGAAATTGACTTTTGAAATGATTGGTCCACTTTAGGCACCAGGACTACAACCACTTCTGGCCTGGTCATATGGACCAATTTCCTAGCAACTGTAGAATTAGCGGGCAGGGAAAGATTGCATTAAGCTAGTTTCTTTTCCCTGGTGGCTGGGGCTTTAAATTTTTTGGTCTCTCACATCATCCTGGCCAATATGTAAAAAGCTTGTTTCAAATCTGTATCAAAAAATTAATGATAGTGTCTTATTCTCAACTGTGGTATTAAATTTTTTAATTTTTTTTTTTTTTTTTTTTTTTTTTTTTGTATCTTTTCTAGTGCATAAGCCAGGTAAATCTTACAATGAATTGTGTATTTGTTAAAACCTAAACTAGGGTTTTGGCAGTAGCTGTGTCAAACTTAGGTCAGTTTGAGTGTTGACTAAGACCTTTGGTTTCTTGAGTT